TTCTTAACCAGGGGCCCTGGAACTTGGGTTTGGTTTTTTTTAACTTTCTGGTAACTCTATTTAAATAAAATGGGTTTTCTTTGTAATTCTATGTATTTTATTTTACGTGTTTCCAAACAAGTTATTCTGAGAAGGCAGGGTCCATGGGCTTCCTCAAACTGACTGTAAAAGGGGGTGTGTGACATACAGAAAGGTGAAGAACCTGGGCCCTAGGAGCGGAAAGCCTGTCCTCTGTGGCTCAGCTGGTACCGTGCCCATGCTCCAACCCTCCCCCCCCAACCCCTACCAAGCACAAACACAGCCTTGAGCACAGCAAACACAGCCCCATCTACAATGCGGTTCTGGGAAGCAGCCAACAGGTGCCGATCACAGGAGGAACGGATTCCAACAGCGGGCTTGTCTGTGGAGAGAAGGCTAGTCAATGGAATAAGCCCTGATCAAGCAAGCACCTACTGTGTACCGGGCACTAAGAATATAAAAAATAAAAAAAAGGCCCTGTCCTCAAGGACCTTACAGCCTCCTGTGGGGAAACTCCCCACACGCCCCTAAGTAAGTCCAAATAAGTGCCAAGTCATTGGCAGAAGTGGGAGAGAGTCGTCATGGAGGAAGGGACATGCCTTGGGCCTGGAGGGAGCTGAGGGCTCCACGAGGCAGAGGGTGAGACAGGATATATGAGGTCCTATACAGGGAGCAGCAAGTAGGCTGGAACACCAAATGTATGAGGGGGGGAGTAACGGGAAATCAGCCTCTAAAGAGTGGACTGGAATTTAAGAGAGATCCCATTAGGGGATCGTTCACGTCTAGCTCTCTGTGGCCCCATTTGAGGTTTTCGTGGCAGAGATCCTGGAGTGCTTTGCCATTTCCTTCTCCAGCTCCTTTTACAGATGAGGAAACTGAGGCAGACAGGGTGAAGTGCCTTGGCCAGGGTCACACTAGTAAGAGTCTCAGGCCAGATTTGAAATCAGTATTCCTGACTTTTTGCACAGCACTGTGTACTGCACCACCTAGCTGCCCGTGTATCAGGCGACAGGATGGAGCAGTCGGTGGGATACTCCAGAGGACCATCCCCAAGTCCCTGGCTCGCGAGGATCAGCAGTCAGGCCTACTTACTGCCATCGGCCTGGCAGGGGTTGAGTTGAGGTGTCTTAAAGAGATGGAGCAGGATTCGGCAGGTGAGGCGGGCACCCGGTTCAGAGTCCTGTTCGCTGCAGGCTGGTGGGGCAAAGCGATACTGAGCGAAGAGAAAGACGAGGCTGCCCCGACCAGAAGGGAGGGCGGGGACAGACGGGGTTGGGGGACATGTCAGTAGGGCAGTGAACCCAGGAGCCACGAGGCTGTGTCTAAGCCAGAAGCCAGGGCTTGTCCTGAGGAGTCAGTCAAGGGGTCTGGGCTCTAAAGCATCAGGAAGAGCTCCGGCTGCTTACTCACCAGCATTGAGCAGTGAGGGGATGGCCGCACAGCGGATGAGATCCTCTAGGAGAAGGCACTGCCGGGCGATAAGGATGGCAACAAAGGTGGCAAGGGAGTCATGAAAAGACAGGTCACTGACCTGGGAAAGAAAGGTGAGCTCAGAGATCCTGGCCTGCTGCCCCCTCCCCGCCCCGCCCACTCCACTTCCTCCCCCAGGCTCACATCTACATTGCAGAGCAGGTCATTAAAGCCACAGGTGCCATTATTAGAAGAGCAGCATAAGGCCTTCAGTACTCCAAGCCACTCTGCACTCAGGGCCTTGCAGTAACCAGTCAGTTCAGCACACAGGATGGCAATGTCATTCACCCTGGGGGAGAGGGGACATTCCTTGGGAAAAGTCAGGGCCTCCTCTCCCTGAACCAGTCCCAGCCTTGAGCTCCATTGCCATCTCCACCCTAATGGCAGAATGCAAGAAGGGGTGTTGCCCCCACCCGCGGGGGCACTGGGCCCAGCCCATACCGGTCAGGATCATGGTGGCCCACACAGACGTGCATGAGGGCATTGCAGACAAAGCTGTATCTGTTGGCGGGGTTCTCACTGAGGCTCTTGCCCAGCCCGGTGTAGTAGGTGAAGGTATGTGCTGCTGGGTTCTCCAGTGTGTCAATCATGAACTCAGGGGCCCATCGCATGTTTGACTCAGAGGGCTCCACATTACAATAGATAGTGTTCTTCACCTTTGAGCAAAAGTCACTGGGGGGGGGGGGGCGGGGAGAGAACATAGTATGGCAAGGGTGAGGGAGACCTGGTAAGGGGAGGGGCAGAGACTTGGACGGACTAAGAGGGACAGGGGGCCCCAGGGCACACAAAACGGGCCCCGAATCAGTGCCTGGGCTCAGGAAGGCAAGGAGACCAGGAAGCACCAGGGCTACAGGGAGGGCTCGGCCCAGGCCACGAATGGCCACCCCAGGCTGGGCAGGAAGGGGGAGGGGGGAGCAGGCCTAGTCCCTAGGTCTCCAGCCCTCTCTCACCTGAAGAGTTCCCCAAACTTGCTCTTCAGGTGGCTGCAGGAGGTATACAGATCATACAGATAGGCCAGGATGCAACGTTCTGCAGAGGAGCCATCCGACCGGTTCATGCCATGCTTTACCACCCCACAAAGACTGATGGGGGATGAAAAAAGAAGGCAGGGTTAGTTCATGGCTGGGGGAGGGGTAGACCTTCATGTCCTGGCCTGGGGTGGAAGGTGGTGGGGATGGGGTGTGGGGGGCCCACCTGCTCCTCTACTAACCCCTCAGCCTTTGGAATTAGGCCTCCCCTGGCCCAAGGGATTCCAGGCCTCTATGCTCACCCCTCAAAGACCTGTGCCATCTGGTCCTGATTGAGGATGAGGCAGGCATGGTAGTGCCTCAGCACAGCCACGATACACAGGCACAGGCTGGTAGTGTAACTGCCCACAAGGTCTGAGGATTTGAGAAGCAGCTCGGCCTCCACCACGCTCAGTTCGTTCAGCAGCTGCCAATGGAGGCCGGGAGGAAAGTAAGAAGAGGACTTTTTCCTCCCCTTCTCTGCCCTGTGCCCTCTCCTTAGACAGTCTCTCAGATCCTGGGCTCCTTACCCCACAACTGCCCTTCCCCAGTGACTAGCGACACAGGAACCAGCTCCAGGGGAGGGTTCTCCCCAGCAACCTGGTGGTGGGGGAGGAAGGGAAGGGCTTTGGACTCTCCCTCTCATCTGGCCCTCAGAATGTAGGTATCCTCAGGGAGTCACAAAGCATTAGGTAGAGCCAGTATGGCATGCCACAGAGGATAATAGCTTTGGCGTGAGAAGACCAGGGTCCCAGGCCCAGCTCCTCCATTTACTTACTAGCTGTGTGACCTCAGCCAAGTCTCTATACCTAGAAAAGCCTCTGTTTTCCAATGAGGATGATACTACCTACCTCAGTAGCTTGTGAGAAAAGTGCTTTGTAAAAGCTAAGAGCCTATAGGAGTGTGAGCTGTGCGAGCAAGCCTGCTGCACGATTTTCCCATCACTCTCTGCACGTTGGGCCTTCTGCTAGCTGCTGCCTAGCCTAGCCTAGCTTGTTCTACATCATGACCTCATGCCCCCAGGGAACGCTCTCTCCAGCCCTCGCCCTCCAACTCCCCACCTGGATAGCAAAGTCGATGAGGCCACTGATGCTGAGTGAATATTCCATGAGGTCGAAAATGAACTGTACGTGCTGTACCAGGGGCAGGTGGTATGACATGCCAAGGGCAAAGCTTGTGATCTGCTCCAGGACATTCCGGGAGACCTGGGGAGGGCAGGGCAATGAGGCTGAGCGGCTGAGCTGAGAAGCGCCAGGGGAGAAGGGAGGGGATGCACTAGGGAGGCTTGGCTTGCTCAAAAGAAAAGAAAAGGCAAAAGGAAGAGACGGGAGGATGGAAATGAGAGTGAGGAGGCAGGGCTCCAGGCGTCGAAGCCTAGGCCTAAGGCCCATACCTGAGCTGTGACTTGGTGTTGATCATAATGTGAAAGGTGTTGAAATTTGGAGAATATGTCCTCTGCTGTGGGGAAGGCTTCAGGCCGATTGCGTCTCCTCTTCTGGCCATCTTCCCCACCTGTGAGGAGGACAGTGGGAAGGGTGGAGAGTCAAAGGACAGACTGCAACTGGAGGGAAGCTCATGGGGCATTTGAGACTGACTAGAGAGGAGCCCTTGTAGAGGGCTACATGCTGGCCTGGGTAGGCTGGTGCCTATTGCCTGCTTTGTATACAGTACACACAATAAGTGTTGAAGTTTAAGAGGTCAGGGTACAACTTTCAAGGAATAAGCTCTCATCAGAGGCCATGAAACTGTTTTCAACGGAAGAAATAAAATCAATAACCTCTTGGGAAAAAAAAGGTTTGAATAACCCAGGAAATGCAAATGCCAACAATCCTCAAGGATTACCTCCCACCCATCAAGCTAAGCCAACAAGACAAAGGTGGGGCAGCTCATTGTTGAAGGGGCTGTGGAAAGGTAGGCAGCTTCACCACTTGGAATGGAACAGCAGGGAGATTCCATCGTTCTGGAAGACTATTTGAGATTGGGCAAGAAAAGCTGCCAACTGCCCTACACTAGTACAACTAGAGCCCAAGGAGGCTCCAGAGAGACGGCCTTCGGAGAGACGGCCTTCCGGAGAGGCCCAGCAGCTGGACAAGCATCCTGTTTGTGATGAAAGAGTGGGGAAACACATCAGGACCTAGTGAATGGGGAACAAACCAGTTACAGCTGGTTCATTGGAATGGAATGGAATATTACAGGGGGATAAGCAAGGAGGAATATAGAGAGCTCCAAGGAGCATGGGAGGATCAGGACAAGTGGAGAACAGAGCCAAGAAGGCAGAGCCCAGAGAACACCATGCACCCTGAGTGCAACAAAGTAAAAAGCCAAGTTGCTTTGAGGCCACCTCCCACCCGCTCCTCCCTGCCTGCTACAGTTGAAGGGCAGTCTTCCCCCTCTCTGGGAACAATATACAATCTAACTGTTCCTCCTTTCTTCGGGAATGGATTTTGTAAGGGAGTTTGGGGAGAAGTATCTGTTGTGTCCAAAGAAAATGTGGCAATCTATCTCTTGTGGTTTATTTGTTTGTTTTTAATCAAAAGAGAAATGAGTACAGAGGGGGAGGCCATCTGGGCAAGAGCTGCCAGGAAGTATATTCCTTCTCTGAGGAGAACCTTCTGCCCCAAGCCTCCCAGGGACCTGTCTGTACCTCCCAGGGACCCTTCTGCACCTCCCAGGGACCCTTCTGCACCTC